TACTTGTGTTTTTATTAATTTAGGATTAATAACTATGGAATAGATTTGTTATGGTGTGGCTGCAACTAACTTTCAGTGAGGGTAAATTGATGGGAACCATTTTGGCTTTACACAAGAAATCATAATTTTCTCACTGACTGGTATTTTGGAATATTAGTTTAGCCTTTTACAGATCTTTCTGTTAAAACTACCATTCCCTGGCTAGCTAAAAAAGCTTATTTCAAAGTAATATGAATTCTGCTTGAGAATGATATGAGGCATGTGACTATCAGTTCATCACATTCAATTTAAATAGCGTATTCCAGTGCGTATGCTAGCCAACATTGCAATTAATGTGGCAGAAACTTTGAAGATACATAGTGATTCCTGTTTTATTTTCTAGTAACTTTAAGGGAATTTGATTTCTTCCCCAAAATATCAGAATGCAAATACTCTTTTTTATTTAAAGGGAAATCTCATTAACACTCTGTGCGCTGGAAAGCTAGAACTGAATTTGTATGTATGCAAGCGTACAGTTTTTCAGATATGGCAAATCAGGGCCCAGTTCTGATAACACTCAACATTTAAATGTTTTATGATGCCGGAATAACTCTATGCACTTAAGTACAGCTTATGATGTAGCTGAAGTATTATATTTTGTATGATAAAGGTGTTAAAATCTGTAAAAGACCCTGTTTAACAAGACAGAGAGGTAAATGCATTCAAAAGAGTAAGTCCGTTTTCTTCAGTGGAGTTCCTTTGGACAATTTCTCTCTGGATTTAACATTCTCGTGGATGATTCTGGAGTCCTATAGCGGCTTCTAATATGGCTAGTTCAGAAAAGTTGTTGAGAAACCACAGATGGTTCACTCAGGAGTCTTGAAAAGAATCGAAAAACACACATTTCAGTGAAAGATATTCTATCTTATGTAGTTTATTCAGGAGAAGGTTAAGAGGTGACATCCTCAAAAATTGAAAAGGGAGAGATGTTGAATGCGGAAAGCAAAAAGGAGGCAGACTGCTTGCCAGGGAGAGAGGAGACAAAGGGCCCTGTAATTCCCCCGTTGCTGTCGAACAGTGCTTTGTGTTCGGAGGGGACGGGGGGGAAGCGCTGAACAAGCCCTTCTCCCTTAACGTTAATTACTGTTGGGCAAAAAAGTATAACTGGTGGAGCAGCGTACCAAGGATTGTTGGCCATCGCTGAAAACACTCAAAATAGGATTTATTTTCAGCCTAAAGGATAAGCTATGTATCACCTTTTGATCTTGAAGATGGAAATACTTCAGGGAAGTCCTGCAGTCTAAGTAATGCAGAAAGTTGCATGGAATTATCACAAATCCTCTTTTCTGTTCTTAAAAGCTATTAATGCCATACCTATTTGCAAATCTATTGGTTTGTCTACAATACGTCTCTGCATCATTATGTAGGATCTCTCTAGTGTAGCCGATCAACGTAGCTCAAGAAACCACACTGGTAAGGGTTTTATAGTCAGAACGCAGATGCTGCAGTGGGTAAGACAAATTAGTGAAGCTTTTCTTTTATGGCAGCAGCCTAGATCTTTTTTCCACCCCTCACACTGCTTTTTTGGCTGCCTAAAAAATGTTTCAGAATGATCACTACAATTGTAAACCTATAACCTGAGACCTTGAGAAACCAAAATACAGAATTTCAGGATTTCATACAAATAAATAACATACTGCTGCGTAGTATATTTTCAGAGTCGTAAAAAAACTCCTGTTCTTGGCAGGGCCATCCAGCAAGCTAGGAGAGAGCGATTGGAAACACTTCTGTCATAATTGAAGCCTGGTTAGCAGTGATTGTAGGCCTATGTTTGGATTGCAAATAGCAGTGGTACTTTTACAAATTACCCTGCTCTGGACTTGTCCCTTTACTGGAAAAAAACCTCCTCTGTTCCTAGGTAATGGAGGTGTTTGTAAGGTTAGAAGTTCTGGTGAAGGGTACTTTATTCGGACAGCAATTGTAGCGGAAACCTTGTAGACTGAAGTGTCTTTCCTCTCTGTGCTACCTTTAGGGTAAGGAGGAGAATGCTTTCCTAATGAAGGTGATAGACTAAGACCTTGGGTTCATTTTCCAGCTCTGTCCAGCCTTGTGCAAGTTTGGGTGACTTGTTTAATCTCTCTATGCATGTATTTCTCATCTGTGAAATTGTATAAAACCATTTGCCGTTCCGGCTGTTTATAAATCCTTTGAGGAAGGAGCTCTTTTCTATCTATGGCTGCTTGATCAGACTAAAGAGACTCTTTCAGCACTACTCTCACAATTATAGTAGTTAACGTTTCATAAGGACAGGTGATCTCCAAGCAGAAATACAAGAGAATGCTGTTTGACTATGGGAACTTCATTGTATGCAAGTCCGAGGGGATGTTGGTCAAAGAACAGTTTTCTTTCTTTTGGGAATTTTGAAAAAAAAAATCACATCCATTTTGGAACCAAAAGAATAAATTTCAAAATGTCCTATGGTAAGGAAAGCAAAGGGAATAATTCATTTTGAAATGAGTGGAGTATTGGTTCTGAAAATAGGAAAATGAAATGTATTCTTAGGTTCCGCGATCAAACATGATCTTATTTATGATTCTCCGCATTTGCTGGCTGGTTGACAGAGAGCCAAGAGTCATAGTGGACTTCTAGCTATATTGTCCGTACTCCTAATGTGGAAGCGCGGCCAGATCTCTGCTAGAACCGAAAGTCTGAGGGACATTGGGAGCCCATCTGGTACAGCAAGGAGTAGCTTGAGGAGCTCCTGAGAGGTTGGCCTCTTTGGCTGAACAGCAAACGAAGCTGCAGGAAATGTGGCAATTTCCTAGCAGAACTGCACCCAACAAGCAGAGTTTTGCTGTAAATTCTTTCAAATTTATGCTTGCATGAAGCACTACAGATTCAGCAAACTGTCTTGTTCCAGGTAGAAATACTGTTGTTGAAAACTTCTTAGCCAGCTCCGGTTCAGTGCTCACCAAGGGTTTTTTTGTTTAGTTGTCCTTCAGTGCGTCGTGGAACGCGTGTCTCTTGTTATTGAAAGGGAAGGGATATTTGAAGAATATTTTTAGTTTGTACTAGCCAATTTCAAAATAAAAAGTGGATGCATGCCGTTTTAGGTTTTATAATGGCATTTTCGTGTGGTTCTCTGAAGTACCATAATTTGTGCTTGCCCACATAACAGTTATTTCCTAATTGTTTTGGAAAAATTTCGAAAAATACACCTTTGCAGGATTAAGAATAATTACTCTGTTGTTTTTTGTTAATTTGTTTTCTCCAAACACACACACACACACATACAGAATACTTTCTATTCTTTGCTCTAGTTTGATTCCCAGTCTTTTTGCAGGCACTGAGCTGAGGTGAAAGGTGCTATAATAAGGTTGAAGAACGCGAAGCACACAAGATAAGACACACTATTTGTAACTGGATGCAGTACTGTTAATTCCTGCTACTCTTAAAATTTTACCTTTATTCTGTATACATCCCATCGGAATGTTTTATGTGATTGTTTCTACTACCTATACAACTGAAGGACTTGAAGCACAAGAACACTAGGTGCAAATCAGTCGCTGCTTGTGTGGCAAGGCTACACAAATCCATATTTAAAAAAAATAGTGACTCACCTCTGAAAGTTTAATGCGCTGAACAGTATGAAATTATATCAGCATTTGAAGCACATGATTTTTAAGTTCTTGGGTTTCTTTTAAAAAAATGATGTTGTAATAGTTCTTGGATTAATTTGTTTTTGACCAGTTTATCAAATGTTGCATGGAATATCTGTTCCAGAACAACGCATAAAGCTTTTCCATAGCTTTCTGTTTGACCATTGTAGCGCAACTGCAAACCACATTCCTATCCTCTGGAGTTCTGGGAAACGATACATGTGCTGTGGTTGAGAGTGTAACTTAAAGTGCTCACTGTTCAAGTGCATAGGACGTGTTACTCTTAAAATAGTATTATTAACTAGCGATGCTTTAATTGCACCTGAAAAGGAGCATTCATTGCTGAGTTGCAAGCTGCAAATACAGAGTCATAGCTGGAAGGTGAAATCAGCCACAGCTTTTGCTGAGTGACAAGCTGAACCAAGTAAGCCCAAGTACTAGGCAGATAGTTCTCACCAGATTTGAACCACCTGTGCTGTTGACTACAAAACCCCTGAAACCCATGAGTTATTTTGTCTACCAGATAGCGAATTTGGCAGTCTTGTTCATGCATGGGCCTGGCTGCTACTGGTGTCCTTAAGCCTAATGTTCTAGCTAAGGAACCTGTAGTACGGTCTTGGGATACTCAGGCACAAGATCTTTCGTACATTGGCAAGGCAATACCGTGTTTCCCTGGTACTTTAAGCACAAGCTAGTACCCTGTGCTTTCAGTGCCACGGAGTTCAGCGTGAAGCTGATGATGATTCTTCCTGAGAGCTGCCCAGGAAGTAAGCGACCCCTTTCCATGAACGGTCTCTTACCGGACTGTAGCAAGCTTAAAACTGAGCGCCTGCCAGTCCCCAGGATACACTCTTCAGTACCTCGCAAAGAAGATGAAAGCTCTTTGAACTGCTTATGCTTTGTGACTGTAGTATCTTAAGTAGGAATTTGTTTTAATGTCTTCCCTGTCCTGTTTCCCCTTTCTTGTTTCCCCTTTCCTCTACAAACTATATTGAACCAGTTAAGCCATTAAATGGTTGCAGGAAACCTTGGACACCTCTTTTCTGTATTCATCCCTCTTTCCATTATTGAAGGACAACTGTTAACGGTAACTGTGATCCAGTATGTAAGATGGTAGGTCTGCAGCTAGCTTCCATCCCAATCTTTAAATAAGTCTGAATATTGTGCAAGCAGTATGGATATCCTCATCTCAGTTCTACCTGACTTGTGCGAATGAGGATTATCTTTTTTGTGCCACTACTTCTGTCCGTATAGCATGTAAACTAGACTTTATGAAATTTTGTCCCAAGAAAAGATTGAGCTAATGTTCACGTGAGTGTTTCAGTGTGTTTTGTTCTGCTGTTTCCCCTTTTAGGTGACAGCGAGATTGTAAATAATATGTACGAGACCGACCCTGATCTCCTTGCTGGCGAAAGTGCAGAGGAGGAAACAGAGGACAGTATTATGTCCCCCATCCCTGTCGGACCTCCGTCACCCTTTCCCACCAGTGAGGACTTCACTCCCAAGGAGGGCTCACCTTATGAAGCTCCTGTCTACATTCCTGATGACATTCCAATCCCACCAGATTTTGAACTCAGAGAATCTTCGATTCCAGGGGCAGGGCTAGGGATTTGGGCCAAAAAGAAGATTGAAGTTGGGGAAAGATTTGGACCTTATGTGACAGTACAGAGGAGCACGTTAAAGGAAGCAAACTTTGGATGGGAGGTAAGCATGCCGAATGTGATTAATCGCATTCCTTTGTCTTCTCTGCAAATCGTTCATAAAGCTAGACTGAGTTCTGACTGGCCTAGCGACAGAAGTAGTGACTTTGCTAATGCCATATTTCCCTGGGTTGTTTTATATCACAGTTTATATCACTATTTAGAAAGCAACAGAAATCCTTTAGGATGGCTTCTTGGGCTACAAATACTGCTCTAACACCGTTTTAGGAAGGTTGGTTTTAAATGATGTCGGGTCACTTCTTAAAGTGCTTGTCATTTTCAGATTGTGTTCAGAACTTGTCGCAATGGAAGAAATAAGATTAATCGCATCATGTTTTGTGGTTGGGTGTGCTACCTTTGACTTCCAGTCCATGTTAGCTCTGCAGGCCTTATTAACTGCTCATAGAAAAATAACATGTATCCATTAACACCCTTGATGTTCTTGTGTTCTTGTTCTGCAACAAAGAAAATAAATACAAAAGTCATTTTTCCCTAAGAGCTAAACAAAGAACAATCTTTGATAGGGAAAACTGCCCAATCCCAGAACTCTTGTCTCTTTCTCCCCACTTCTCGGGGATTGCCCCAGAAATCTTCTTAGTCTCTTTGCTCCTGTTTGCTTGATTTGAGAATACCTTTCCCTGCAGGAATTACCATAAATGAAAGTAGGTTCTGTGAACAGTGGGATGCAGCCTAGGGTTTGTGCTCTGTGTCCATAGTGCTATGCCAGGACAGCCAGTGTCCGTGACAGAGAATTGCTTCCCTGTTGTAGCCCCAGTGCCATCCCCCTTCCTCTCCCTCTTTGTGTCTGCTGTCTGTTGTCTTGAGGAGGAAGTTGCAAGTGCTGCTGCTGGTTTAGAGCGAGGGTTGGCTGATTAGGACTCATTTGCCAGTTGATAAGCCAGTTCTGCCTCTCAAAATATGTAGAAGCTGAGTTTTACTGTCCTTTTCCTCTGCATAATGCACTAATTTGGTTACTTTTCTCCATCAGCCACTAACTGACGTGAAGTAGTGCATTAAAAGCTGTTGGAGTAGGGAGCTGGGGAGAAACTAAGACAGAGCTGAGGCTAGCAAGCGGGCAAGCCAACAGCGCGATCACAGGAGCCTTATTTTCTTAGAAAACCAGGCCCAAAAGGCCATGCACAATTTAAAATGGTAATGCTTGGGCCTGATTATATTTATACTCCTGATTGTGAAATCTGAAAAATCAGTGAGCAGCTAGAGTCTGTGAAGCCCAAAGAAACATGACCAGATGTTTCTGTTTACTTTTTTAATGTGTCCAAAGTGCAGGAAAAAGCAAAAGACACTCGCTGTAAAAACAAAGCTCAGCCATATTTTGTAATTTCCTCTGCTGTAAGGAATTTCTAAAGTGCTAAAATCAGGATTTCGTTGAATGAATGAGTCAAGAATTCCCTTTTCTCTCTCTCTGCTAGCGCAGGGAAAGAAGGGAAATTCATCTGAGAGTTTTGCTTCTTTTCCCTCAGAAGTTCATCCTTGTCTTAGCATCTTTTCTCGTGTATATCATTATGTATTTGATTAGTATTTGATTAGTGTTGCCGCCTTATCTTCAAAGTGTTAATGCTTTGCCATGTCAAGGAGGCTATGGGGCCACTTGAGATTACCTAAAATACTGGTCGCGTTGAGATCTTTCTGAAACCAAGCTCAGTTTTCCTCTAGGAATATGCAGTATTGATTATTTGTAGGCCCTGAGTAATGCAGTAAGGGGTAATTTGAGTAATGCAAATCTTTTTTTCTATTATTTTAACATATAACTTTGACTTCTATATTTCTGGTACATGTTTCTGTTTAAGTTGTCATATTTTGAAGTAATGTCCCTTATCTCCATTACTCACTGAATGCCAGGCCTGATGCAAGCTATAATCTGTTGACTTCCATCTACATTGACTTTCAGTGCTGTTTATTTTTTTGCTGTACCTGAACAAACTAACTTTCTTCATAGTGATTCTCATATTTCTGCTGCATTCTTTTCTTCTCTGCTTTGACAGGTACATTTCATACCTGTAAGGAAGGAACATTTGTTCTCCATCAGATGTCCTCAAACACTGTCTTAGACCTGCTCTAACACTATCTCTTGACCTTGCTTTATACATGCAGATACATTAACTTAGAGTTTTTCACTTGCCAGGGTGTTAAAAGACAGTTCTGAAACCAACTTTTAATTCCCAAAAGTCTTCGTTGTTTCACTTCTGAGCAACGTACTTTAATGCTTCCATGTCCTAGAGAGGAGTCCATGTAATAAATACTACCTCAGCCAGTATGTTGCTTTCTGAGCTGTTTCCTTTGAGTATAAGGTTGGAAAACCCTTGTAAAATTCAGCAGGCAGACAATTGGCAGCAAAAGGAAAAAAGAAAAAGGATTTTTTTGGTCACCTTATAACACGTGTTGACTAGAGTATTGCTTCCATCTGTTGTTTCTTACAACGGTGATGAATCTAACAATTCTAGGTTTTGTAGTATGCCGTGAGAAATGTTCACAATGATCCAAGTATTGGTTTTGTACTTCCACGCTAATAAGCATTGACTGCAGTTTGACATTTTTTGACAGTATTTCTCTGTAACCTGTGATTTTGACTTACAATGACTTGAATGTTGTTTTAAGACTTCTAACTCATAACTTCTTATTCCTTGCTAATTGAGATATGAGTACTGTGGCTGAGTTGCCTATTCTATTCATTATATTAGTATTTTTATCTCAAGGAAGGTGGTAGTTCTGCACATACAACCGTCTTCTATATTGATGGTCCTCCTTTCATGTCCTGTAGTTCATACTCTTGAATGGAAAATAAATGATGCCACTTGTGTCCACAAAAAAAAAAAAAAACCATAATCCTGAACACCTGGTCTTTTTTGGTCTATTTTTAGCAGTTAGCAGTATCTTAGTTTATAATACTGTTTCTGCCTATCTATTTACTGCCTTAAAGTCTTGCTCTTCCTCATGGGGAGTTTTATATCAGACTTTGACTAAGAGTAATTACAAGTGCCATAAGAACTGGTAGCATCAAAGAATGTTTTACACTACAATTTAAAGGGGACATTCATTAGCAGCGTATTAGTTTCAACAGAAAACACTGCCTGTTATTGCTATTGTATGGCACACATCGTTGTGCTTAGTCATATTGACTCGTATCTAGCTCCTGCATGTGTTCAGTATGCAAGTTGCTTAATAGCTTCAAAATTGTTTTTGTGCCCATCAGTAATGGGCCCCAATCACTGTGGGTAATGTAGAGGATGAGACAGCACTGGAGAACATCAGAGTCTTTATGTACGGGTGCGTGGGAAGACATGTTGTTGTTGCTATTCTGTGGGTTTTTAAATTAAAACTTACACATGCTAATTCAGCATATTAAAATACCATAGATTTCAGAATGCCTGAGTCTGTACTTTACAGCTAATGCTTTTTAATCTTTTTGTTAATAAACAGTTAATCTTTGGGGACTAGAAAATCTGTTATTAGGGACTTTGATTTGAATATGGATCTCAGTTCTATCCAAGACATAAATGCTGTAGAAATAGCTTTCTCTTTTCAATCTTCAGTGAGACCAGATTTGTGAAAACTAAAATGAAACAAGAGAGTTACCTTCATTTCTTCAAAGTCTTTGAGAATCATAGGCTCCTGTTTTGAGGTAGGGACCACCTCTTTTCTTCATCTGAACTGTTTGATGCAGACCTGGCTATGATGTAAAACCTCTAGCTCCAGGAGGTAAAAGAAGAATGCCATTTGTTGAAACTTCCAGCTTACTCATTATTTCCCTTAATAGCACAAAACATCATAGGCAATGCAGACCTTGACAGAAAAGATACGTAATCTTTTTTATTACAGATGTTTTTCCCTTCCCTCAGATAGAAGCGCTAGGGGTAAGATGGGTGAACACATACTCCACTTTTTCTCTTTCATTTCTTTACTGTCTTGTCTTTTTTATATGTTTTTCCTCAAACATTTGCTTTCTGCAATATATTTTTAAAATATTCTTTAATTTAAACCACACCTGTTATTCAAGGGCTTTTTCAACACGGCATAGCAGTGAATGATTCACTTATTTAATAAAAGTAAATGAGATGTGTTGGTCTTTCACTCCCCACCCCCTCACGGAGATGATTCAGTAAGTGCTTGCATAGGAAGGTGGGCTGTGTGTTTTCTCCCTGTGTCTCATTCCCTGAAACTACTGTGCTGATCGTGTTTCCCTACTTCTGTTTTTCTTAAAGAACACCACCCAGCCTAAAAGCCCTGTGATTATTTTGTGTATGTGAGTGCGTTTCTGCTCTGCCTCCCTGATCCTCTTCCTCCCTTGCCTGGTGGCGCAGGAAGTACCGTTCAGAATACCCCAAATAAATCACAGTGTCTTTTCACGTTATTGCTTCTGGGCCCTTAAAAAAAGGGGGGTGGGAGGAGGTTCATAGGGATTTTGATCACTTTTGTGAGTAAATAATGGTATTTATCATAGCACTGTTTATTTTGCTGATTAAGAGATGAGTGGGAAGCACATCCTGGAGGGAAATATAGTGACTGAATTCCAGGGAATTTGGAAGGATTCACATATGCTCTTAGCTCAGTCTGCTTCACAGAGTACATACTATCCATAAAATCTAGTTGTTAGTTTCTTTATTTTAATTTTTATTTTGAGAGAGAATGTTTGCTGAAGCACAAGAGAATTCTTTTACACTGCAATTTGGGGCCTCATGAAGACATGAGAGACTTGCCTTTTATATATGGAGGATCTGTGCTTTCATTTAATATTTTAGGGTGAAGATGGAAACTGTCCTGTGAAAGACAAATAACTGTAGATAAATTAAGAATAAGCAGCTAAGGCTGCAGCAAGAGTTCCTGGCTTCACATGTGTGTCAGTGGGAAAAGTGCTGGTTGTGAAAGCCTGAGTTGCTTTACAGTGTCAGTGACTCGTAGTAGTTCAAGCTCTTTGCTCCCACAAAATAGAATATTTAAATTCTGTGGTGTGCTTTTTTTCTTGTTTGTTTTCTTTGTTTTCTTGTT